TTTTTCTTTAAAATAAAAATAACTGATGTCAAAAAATAAAAAATAAAAAAATTGACACAATCAATTTATATTATGTGCAGGTACAAATTCGCTATGATGAATGTGATCACTGTGTACCAATAAGCTTTATTACTAAAATAATGCTGGCATAATTGTCATTTCCTAACCTTATGCGAAGAGAGGACTTCCTTACCTTTTGAAAGGCACAGCTCTTTTCAGAACCACCTCCACCTCAGCAGCATTTGCCCTTGCAAGATCTGCCACAGTAAGGAAGCCAGAAGAGTACAGGAACCTGGCTCGCTGTGCATTAAGTAAGGACACTCGGACCAGGTCACATAGCTCCCGCTGGATGCCAAAAGTAAGGCGCTTCTGAAACTGGGAAAGTAACAGTTCCATGTTGTGCCAGCCCAGACGGTTGGAAAACACTGTAATCATTCCTAGAACATTCATAGAATGAGTGTTGAATTAAAATTTTCTTATAAAAAATCTGTTAGAAACCAATTCTCCATTCCTTAGATACATGTTTCAGAGTCTAATTTTTCTTGCAGAATTGTAAGGTTTAACAAGCTCAGGGTATAATAAGGTAACAGGAAAGCAAAAAACATACGGAGGGCTTAGCTAGTCAGATAATAAATGTGCTAAAGACATTGCATGTCATCTCTTTTATTCTTAATTCAAACTTGCCATTTGAAAACTGAGGTGGAACACAAACACAAAGCAAAAAGACATCATCCTAGCCCATGTTTTCTCTTTCCCTTTGTCACTTTCTTACTTTCTTAAGGAAGACAGAACTGTAATAAAACAGGTAAAGGAGTTTATTTTGTTTTTTACCTACAGGAAAACAACATCTGAGAGAGCTACAAAAAGTGAAGTTCCCATGCAATTTTCTTCAAAGAAACGTCACCCAGCTCAGCAACTACACCCTCCCAAAACAGAGTTCTGGCATCCAAGTGCCAAGTCATTATGAAAGTCACACTAACCATAAATGAAGACACAAACTTTTGATGCTAAGGAGTTGAAGAGTGGGTCCCTCGCTTACCACCCCTGCCTGTATTCCCCTCTGCACTCCCTCACATGCACACATCTTCACAGTAAAACACTTATACATGTAAGTATACATAATGGCTTGAAACACCCCTGAGTAAAATTAGACCCAGAATTTCCATTTGCCTAGCTTGGAGGATATGTTTTCACACATTATGTCACAGTAGTACTTCTTTTTCTTTTTTAAAAAATGTATTTAGTACAGGGTCTCACTACACAGACTGGACTTGTCGTGATCCTCCTGTTTTCAGCCTCCCAAGCATTGAGATTATAGGTACACACTCAGTCGCAGTCTCAGTGCCACCAGGGGGCGGGGCCGGCATGGAAAGCTGAAGATCAAACCCTGGACCCTGTGTCTGCCTAAGCAAGATCTTTAATCCACTGAGCTATCTGGCTGGCCCTTTTATTTTTTTATTTATTTATTTTTTTAATTTGGCGGAATGAGGGATTGAACTCAGGCCCTTGTGCTTGCCGGGCAAGCACTTATTCTACTGCGCTATCTCCCCCATCTTTTTATTTTCTTTAACTGGTGCTTCTAAGAGAAGAAATAATATTTAGAACAATCAGACAGGAGTCCACAAATTCTTCTCCATCTTCCAATATTCTTTTCAACCTCTATTAATCGGAACTTTGAGAAAAGTGAAACCACTGAGAACTTGGTTACTTCTTGCAAATGAAAGAATGGGGATGAGGGGACTCAGCAGGCTGCTCAGGACTGAGATGAAAATAAGGCCCAGACACTCAGTCTGTTGCCTATCTCTATAGAGTCCTGGGCCCAGAGGAGCCATAGTTTTAGATGTGATAATAACAGATTACAAAATAAAGGCAACTTTAGAGAAGCTTACAATATAATGGATTTGGAAGGAAAGTAATCTTAATGCTCTCAAAAAATCTAAAATAAATGTGAAACCTTTTGTTTAACTAACCTGCGTAAACAGCAGCTGACTGCTGCAGAGATTGGATCTGTCCACGATTGCATCCATATTTCTGAACAATTTCCTTTAGGGAAACTTCACTGATTAAATCTAACAGCACAAGACTGGTGAAAAACCTAAAAATAAATTTCCAAAATATGGTAAGATATCAAAATGAAAGTAAAATGTGTTTTTGTTTGTTTGTTTTTTTTTTTTTTTTTTTTTTTGGTGGCCAGTTTAGCCCGCCTTGGGGGTGGGGCTGTGCTGGAATCCAACTGAGGTCCCTGCACTTGTCTAAGCTTGCCTAAGCAGGCAGCTTTAGGCCGCTGAGCTATCTTGCCAGCTCTAAAATGTGTATTTCTAATCAACTACGAACTAATAAGGTAACGTTTTATACATTCTGAGGATTCCTAACAGGAAATAGTGTTAATGTATAATGATAGAGATCAATTTTTACAAAATAAGTTTTGACATGCAGCAGTGCTTGAACAAAGAACATCACTGATGTGACAATAACAAAGGTCTCATATTTTAGTATTGCTAGTTTCAATAAATAAAATGTGGTTCAAGAAATATGGGCCAGTCAGTTAGCTCAAGGCACCTGCTTAGGCAGAGTGCAGCAGCTGGGTTCAATCCCTGGTGTGCCATGCCAGCCTCCGACCCCAGGACACACCACTGAGAGGGCAATTGAGACTGGACATGATAGCACACATCTGAAATCTCATCGCTTGGGAGGCTAAAAAACAGGAA